ATGCATCGTTGAGTTCAAGTTGCGCTATCAACAATTTTTGACAGCACTGCGCTTCTTACCTGGAGTCGTCATCACCGTTTTCATGACAGTCGCAGTAGCATCTTGTCTGGTTCAAATAAAAGAGCGTTTGTAACTGGTTCAGCAAAATGAAGAAGCGCACTGGTCGAAGTATGGACCAGTGCGTACTATGACCATGTGGTACTGCCATTCCCGAAGACAAAATGTGCCTCAGAAAGAGCCATTGTGGTAAACGCCATACAAATCTTTGCCAGGAGAAAACAAAGACGTAGCATAACGTTCTGTTGAATTCGAGGAATAATGACTTCATGTTAGCATACATTTATGTCCAAGCAACAGAGTGCTTTAACTTTTCGTAGCATCTATTACACAGACATTTTTACAAACTAGTGTGTTGCAAATGCTAAGCACGCTCGTTTGGTAAAAGCAAGGCAAATGCTATGCATTACGTTCATAATGATGAGTAGGGAGTCCAATCAGATTTCTCTCACAGGAGCGGCTACTAAAGTCGAACTTCTGAGCTATTCAGAAGGATTTCGAGAAAACTGGCATCACTCAGCAAATCGTACGTGTCTGATCAAGCAACAAATGAAATTACAACAAAGGTGGCTTACTTCCTTTTAGAGGAAGACCCGGGTGCGGCAGGGCGCACGCAATAGCCTAACTAAACTTGCTCCTCCAAAATATCGGGGTCAGCAACACGAGGGAAGTCATCGTCAGAAGCACTGATTGGAGAAATAGGGAACCCAAGCGGCATCCCACCCCGTGACACGCGGTGGAAACGAATAATAAGGTACAACGGTTAGATGGCTTGGCACTGGAGAACCAGGAGCGCCACAATACATACTTTCGGGGGATCTGTGCCCCGCCCTCCCCCCTCCCCCCTGCTGACTTGAGCCCTCCTCACCCGATGCTCCTCTGAGCCTCCTAAATGCTTGTGAACAGAGGGAAAACTGGGCCAAATCAATACAGAACAATTGGTAACTATTCGTGTACCAGGCAAACAGGTACTTGATCGCATCATTATTAGTGAAACGTTAATTTTGTACCAAATAGTAGCCTGCAGGTGCCTAATGCCAAACCGCAAATGTTTGACATTTTTTTTTCCAATGATAACGCCTGCTTTGGGATAAACAACAATGAGCAGCAATGTGTGGGAGCTTTTAAAAGTACAGGGCGGCCAATGTAAAAGTTGACACATGGTGCCCTCAACAGGAACAGGTGCATTTGTCGCATGAAGTTATACAACTTGATTAGCAACAGTGGTAGTCACCAATGATTCTTTACTGAGATTTGCTGAGATGTTTTCCCTTCTAATCACACCCCACTTCCGCAACATTCCCAAACTGTCAGCCCACAGCCCGACCCGCCCCAGTCAGGCAGGATTCCAGCTCACAAAACACCTCCGATCTGCAGCACTGACCCGGCGTTAGCCCGCATGCAGGCGCCCTCGCCCTGACAGGGGGCGATGCGATCCCCTCCGATGTTTTTTGCGGATCTCTCCGGTATGCTGTACAGCCTGAAATTTTCGGTAGCCTGTGGGAAGTTTCTTGCGCGTTTTTTGGCGCGGTCAATTGTCACCAGTGTCGCCGGTTTCCGAGCAGCGGCGGCTTTTTTTAGGAACACTGCACGGCGATGCACAGCCGGTGCCTACAGCGGACGCCAGCCGACGAATCCGCCGATGCGCCCGGCGGGCCTACACTGTAACATTGACGGAGCCCTGCAGCTAAAAACCAAAAACCAATATAACCTAAAAACACACACAGTTATATCTCAATATGCTCAAAATGAGACAGAGAGCATACCTGACTACGTTTCATGTCGCTGCCAGGCATGCGTTGTAAATGAATATATGTTAAGCTGATTACGGCGATTTTACAACTTGGCACTTTACCTGGCGTAATGGGTAAATTTTTGGGTAATGGTATATGGGCAAATGGTTAAATGGGTAAATGGTAATGGGCAAATGGGTAATGGTTAAGTCCATTTCTTAGTCTAGCAAGAACTTCGTTGTTACGATCACGACATCTTGTTAAGACCAACTGACTGGTGTTTTCTTTTCGGCTCGATCGCTCCTAGTTTGGAAACGGCAGGGGCCGTTTCATCGAGCGCTCCTATCATTCCGCGATATCGGAAAGGACCAATCGGAGCAAGGGCTAGTTTTAAGTGCAGTCTGTATGTTGCAACTGTTCTTAAGCCTTGGACTGTCCGTGCATTGGCGTGCATTAAATGTCATGTCAGTGTCATCTGATACAAAGCACTGTTCGCCTGACACCAGTACTGGTATCAGTCCTAATGACGCTTAGAGAGCAGTGATCAAAGCATCTGGACTGTGTAGCTTCTATATCACCAAACTGCATTGTTAACACTGTGATGACACCTTTCAACTGCAAAGAAAAAGACGGATGATCAGATCTAAAATGGCTATCACTAAAATGTACCGGTTTTCAGCCTTGGTCGTGTTCTCAGGAAACCACAGGCCAAGTTTTCTAAATCGAAGGTATCGGTATCAACTGGTGGCTTTGACAGTAAAGACAGTAAAGAAACGCTGGATATTTGAAGTCGTGGGAAGTCTTCTGAATTCATAACACTGGTCATGAGCACTGATGACATGTGGTTGGGGTAAATTCGAGGAATCTGCGATGGGGCACCGTCAATAGAATTTGACCTTTTTACGGCCCACTTTACACCATTCGAATGTGCTACAACAACCGCAAGGTCACAATCCACGTTCAAAAACCAAGCAACCAAACTCAGGCTCTCATAAGGTGTTCGCAGTCCATAAATGGACACACCATGCAACAGTACGACTTAAATACCACATAACAGCTTTGAAAAAGATCTACAGTTTCCTCTTCCCACTACCAAGGTCCCATGGCTTGGCGATCATCCCCCCGGCGTTTGTGATGCTAGCGTGCGAGCTACGATAACAATAGTATTTCGTTCAAGGAGCTTCGGCCCTCACGTGGCATCTTTCACATCTAGCAATGCCACAAAAACGTTAGATATCGTCATTGCCGAAGCAAAGCTTAAAGAAAAATGAAATGAATTATGTCAGGGGCTTTCGTTTATATGTCACCCAGCCTGCTGACTGTAACTTTCGGATGTCTATGGAATGTTTGATTGACATCGTATGCTGATCTAGAATTTTGACATAGACTTGTATACTTGCAGGTAGGAAGGTACGGTAAAAGCAAACTGATTACAAATATTAAAATGACATATGAGTCGAACACAAATAACCACCGCAGTAAGGGTGAAAGGTATTATACAAAACAGCTCCTAATATCGGCGTCGTGAACTACGTGTTTTTCAGGCATAAATCGACAAACTCTGCCATGTTTTTTTATATTGGCAATTTTTGCGCATGCCATACACCAGTAACTGTGGTCTGTATTGACAAGTGAGCAAGGTCAGGGCAACGAAAGTCGTGCAGTTTCCCGATCATTTCATTAATTACTGATATTGATCATGAGGTGTGGCTTGTGTATGAAAAATGCAGTTTATTTGAGTGTTACCCTCACCAAAGCAGCCACGCGCAGCACGTAGCTGTGTTCATATTAATGACCCACCTAAGCATTGGTTTATGAAATCAGATGAAGTTTGGAAAATTTGGGCTATTGCTCTTGTTTGTTCGTGGCGTTTGTTACAACTTGTTTCCGCTGTGTACACTGGAATATTGGTGTCATGTCTGCCACGGGTTTTCTGCCGCTGGAGCTAATCCTATAAACTAAGCCTGGGATTTTTCATAAGTGTGCTGTGTTTGGCAGCACGTTATGATTTTGAAAGGTTTCATAGCTTAGGTACTGAGACAAAATTGATTAAGTTACCAGTTCAAATTTCTATCAGCGGAAACCCTCCAAATCTGGCCCACAGCCTGGCGAAGAGCGGGGGGGGGGGGGGGGGCCGGGGAGGGGTTCTTACAGCGTCAGGTGCCGGCAGGTTGGCGGGTTGAAAAAGTCACGTCTCGCATGTATACATTTACGCATATTTTGGGCTCTCCAAGGAAAACGGATTTCCACGATATTCACGCGTCGATGATAAGGACTGCGGTACACGTGAGCACGCTGGCACTGGTTAACTGGCGGCATGCTCCACTTTTGAGGTGTACGAGTCAAGAATAATCACCGCGCAAAGTCAGAACGGTCACTCAATAGGTGCACCTGGTCGTCTACTCTGTTATTCTAGTCTGTCCTGTTCTGCTGTTCAGTTATGTTACAGTACCGAAACAAACTGCACGAAAACACTTGCATAATGGCCTTCTTGTTTACCTACCGGCCCCCTGCGCTCCTACGAGCCGACACTCGCACTGACGCAACGTCATATTTTGCAGCTGTATGAGAAGTTCACCAATATTCAAAAGCGAGCACTCTTTGGAGTAATGACGGGCATCGAACAAAACAAAAATCGGAGCACAAATTGTCGTCTGCAGTACTCATTTGTAACCGCTGTGATGTTTTGGCCCTCATCGATTGAAAGCAAACACGTTTTTATCGTTGGATACCAACCACAGGGCGATTGCGATTCCCTTTCACCTTTTCATCACTTGATGATGTAATTTAAACTGATAATTGAAAATGCCGAGTCTGAATCAATTGCATGAACGTCGTTTTTAGTTGGAGCGTTAGCTCGGTTTGGGCGGAATGCTCGTCATCTCATATTGATTTGTTCGTCCGGGCGGAGCTGCATGCACGGCTTGGTGCTGCCTGGCGTGCGTTATTGCCAAATGACTAGTTGCAATCTTTCACAATTTCTCTCCCATCTCCAATCGTCTCCAAAGGCTGAAATAGCCCCCGGGCCGTGAACGGAATTTCTCCGCTCATCAATCTCGTGACGTCACGGCCGTATCTTATCGCCATGGAAACTGCCAATCAGCGCGCGCGCCGCCGACCACCTGGAACGAGGCTCCGCCCCCGGGGAGGAGCCAGCCGGGCCGGGTCGGTGAAGCGTATTTACCCTACGCTAAGTTGGGCATACACACCCAGAGACAACGTAGGGCACTTGATTGTACAACTTGGCTAAACAGCCAAGTTACACATGCTGCTGTTTGGTGTTTCAATTATACGGCCCCAGCGACAACACGTGTGATCAACAGGCGACCAGCCACCAGTGGGTGTTTGCAGTGATAATAGTGAAATCAAATCACAACGGCCAAAGTGGATCAGTGAATAGACAGTGTCTCGTCTGTTTGGAGAGTCGGAGGGCGCTGCAGAAGCCACCACCATGATGCACTCGGCCGGCTCCATGAACAACAACGGCATGGCATCCTACTCGATGCAGAACAACATGCACATGTCGTACCCGCAGCCGCAGAGCATCCAGAGCTACAACCCGATGGGCGGCATGGGCATCAACTCCAACTACATGCCGCCGGCCTCCATGGGCACCATGACCACCTTCAGCAACATGCAGCCGGTGAACCAGGTCGGCGCCATGAACAGCTCGTGCATGACGGGCCTGGGTGTGATGAACAGCCTGCCGCCCAGCCTGAGTCCGTACAGTCGGGACCTGGCCGGCTCGCCGCACTCGCCGGTCGGCTCGGCGCTTCAGCGGGCGCGCACCGACAAAACGTACCGGCGTAGCTACACGCACGCCAAGCCGCCCTACTCCTACATCAGCCTCATCACCATGGCCATCCAGAACTCGCCGCAGAAGATGCTGACGCTGAGCGAGATCTATCAGTTCATCATGGATCTGTTCCCGTTCTACCGGCAAAACCAGCAGCGCTGGCAGAACTCCATTCGGCATTCACTCTCCTTCAACGACTGCTTTCTCAAGGTAAATGTACGTACCGGGTGGTCGGCCCGACAGCCCCGACAGCTGGCGGGAGCCATCTTTGACCTCGGCCTCACCAGGCCGGCAGCGATCAGCTGGCAGCACCGAACCAGTATCAGCGTTGTTTGTGTGCAAGCGCAATACCCGCCCAGTGCGACGCTACAAAACCAAATGTCACTGCCGTACAGCCCGAGGCCCCGTTTCTTTGGACGGGTCCCCTCAGGCTACGGTTGCTAGCAGCTGACCCTGCTAACTGCTAGCAGCTGGCACGCATCCATGGGTGCGGTGCAGGCCGCGATGAGCCCCGCTGCCGTGTCCCGCGTCCCGTGGCCGGCCGGCCGCCCTAAGCCCCCTTTCATCGGCGCCCTCTCCTCGCCGGCGGAAAATCCGTTTACGGCGGTGCTGCGGCCGCGCTCGCCGCTTTTTGCCGGGCCAAATTGGCCGAGTTAGCGGGCCGGGGCCGGGCAGCGGGCCGGCGGCGCTGCTACCCGCTGAATAGCCGTGCTCCGGCCGCTGGGGCAAAGGACGCGGCTGGAGCTCACAACAAGCCACTCGAGTCTCGCGGCCCTGCCCGCCCGGCCGCCGGGTGCGTCGGCTCACGCGCAGCGGTAGCGGCCGGCCGGCGAACGGTCCCGCCCGGTCCCGCCGGGTCCTGACGAGTCCCACGGGTCTCAGCGGGACCCGGCGGGCGGCGATGCGGCGCCGGCCGCCTCACGCGGGGCGCGCGGCACTGCAGCCAGACAGCTGGCGGGAAGGTCAGAGGTGAGGAGCCTCCTCCCGCAGCCTGACTCTCAGCTCACCCCGTCCTCCTCCTCTCGGCCCCCTGCTTGACCTCCTCCTCATAGGCTGCAGCTGGGCCGGGGTGGCCCGTGCCGCCGGCCCAGGGTCAGAATCGTACCCGGGCAGAGACTGGGATGGCGGAGCCCGCCGGGCCGCATCGGCGGCAGGCAGACGCCGCCAGGCAGCCGCTGCCTGTCCCAACATGGCGGACAAACTGTTAAGTGGCTGAAATGCCCCAGGCACCCATCCACATAACTCATCAAAACCAAACGGCGAGCACACACTCTAGAAGACACATGCAAGTACCGTTGTGGCAATTTCATAGTCAGCTGGTCACCCGTTCCCCCTACCGTCAGCAACGCTATTCCACAGTCCATAGAGAGCCTGCGGCTGGTACCCATCGGTGGGTTCAAAATACTTATTTGGATTGGGTAATCAATATAATGACGGTGAACTATAACGTGGTTGTGGCAAAGTCATTGGGGCGCGGAATTCTAGGGGTGAGTTCGGCCGCCAGATTATGTCGGAATATTATTCGGAATGTTGGAAAATCTGCGGAATGGCGTTTGGTAGTGCCAGCTTTTATCCAAGATAGCTATTCCAGACAATTGTCCGTACCAAGGGAGAATCCAGGACAATTTTCAGAGCATGGTCAGGACGGCGGACCTTTTTTCGCTGTGGGTAGCCATGACAGATGCTGCGCATGACACGTGGGAGACGAATGTGGGGGTATATTTCGAACCTGCCGACGTTATATGGAGGATCTTCGTGAATAGATATCGGAGAGATGATTATTTGTTGAATAAATTTCCCTCGACCGAATGCGCCCTAGGGCTGTCGGTCTTAGGCTTTGAGTCCCTGCCACAACACCACCGCCTCCGTTGTGGTGCCTTAAGTACCATGAAGTACCTAAAGTAAAGTCAACCGTCTCGAAATGGCCTCGGCAGTCAGTGAGTTGTAAAGCTTCAATCGATGTACGTAT